TTGTTGCAGAGAAATCCGATTGAAAATCGCGAAAATTTTTCACTGGGATGGTCTCAAAGTTCACTATATGAAAAAAAATGATTTCACAAATTTTTGAGCAGTTCTTATGCAGGTTTTTGTCAATTAATATATTATTCGATAGGAAATTTTACACTGAACCAAACCCTATAAATAACTTTCCTTTAAAATCTTAAACAAGTCATTGAAAGTTTAAATATATCCTGTACTAGGCATTGTACATTGAAATCATTACATGATGGTCACATTATAATATGATGAACCGAAAGATGTAATGTAATTATAACTGAATGTCATAATATTGCAGAATGGAAGTTGTGCTTAGATAAAAAATCAAATTTTCACATTTAAAAATAGAGTATTTAATAAGAAATCATGATGTCTTCCAAGACAATAGTCAAGTATTTTTGTTAAATTTTTTATGAGTTTTTTCATTCTTTCATATAACTTGTTTTCATAGTATTCTATTATTGATGACTGATGAATACCTAAACTTTTTGCAGATTTCAAGCTTCAACTGAAGAATATATAAGTAGTGCACCGAATAAGGTCATTAGTATCTTGATATGATCTTGAAAGTGAATTAAATGGCTATTGTCCTCTTTATAACACATTTAGCATTGCCACGTAACTTATACTGTGCCAATATGTTTATAAATCTACTATAGAAACTCATCGATAACATTTGTCCGCCAATGTGTATCGAGTCTTAGAGGCAAATATTTTGTCAATGGATTATATATACTCAGAAAAGGAAATAGTATACATGTCGTTTCACATCATTCTGACAATGAATAATATATTAATTGATAATAAATTGCATAAGAATTGCTCAAAAATTTGTGAAATCATTTTTTTCATATAGTGAACTTTGAGACCATTGATAATGACTAAAGAGCGAATTATCGAAATAAAGGAAAATGTTTACTGATCAGGCTGAAAATTGTAGAACTTATTACTATTATTGACCTCTATAATTGCTGAAAGTTTCAGGCCAAACGGTCTTTGCTTTCTGAATTTTCTCAAAACCACACGGATCCCACTTGCTCTATGATACCAGAGAAATATCAGTATTTTGAGGTTCATCATTTTTAGGGCAAATTTCAAGATCCCAAATTTCTGATCACATTGGCGTGTAGTACTAGGATAGTAGTCTTTGCAAAAAAAGTTTGAGCAAAATCGATTGAACTGATCAGGAGAAATCGAATTCACAAGATGGACCCCTTTTGGGCGTATATTGAGACTGGGGTTAGAAATGGGGATAATACTTTTTCACAACATATCTCTTATTAAATAGACTGATTATGTTCTCCATGGTGAGCTCTATCTCTGGTAAAAATTTCAGGTCTCTATCACATTCTGGTGAAGAGATATTGTAAAAATGCTGATGGTTGCCGACCACCCAAAAAAATCAAAAATTGATAAAAAGGCATTTTGGGGCTTTTCAGTCGGTATTTCGTATCTCAGCCGAAATTCAAGCTTTAGGGCTAAAAATTTGGATTTATGCCTAAAAAATGTCCTCTACAAGATGGGCTAACTCCCATCTCGATCTGCGATTATCGATTGAGCACCTATATTGAAAAATCGGTTGTCCTTCTCGTGCAGTGGCTCTTAAGTTTAATCTTCCCGTATTTGCTTATCTTACATTTTTATTTTTTATTCTTTTTATTTTTTTTTTTTACATATGTGTATCAAAAGAAAATGCTGATTAACCCTTTCATTACCGACATTTTCTTGCGTTCTGCACGCACACGAAGAAAAATAGCTGAATCTCTCTCTTGCGTTCTGTCGTCGCAATCAGCTGCGTTTGAAATCTAGTGTTATCATTGTTAATGACCGCCATTTCAATATCATTTAAGATCTTCTTCTTTTTTTTGAAGATACCATATGATATTTGTCGTCTAAGAAGACGACAGAACGCAAAATATTTCTTTTCGTTCTATATCACATCTACGAGGTGTGACGCGGTAACGAAAGGGTTAAATACAAATACATTCAATAAAATGGACGTAATAGTGTTTGATCACCAGAATCAAGTCTTTTAAGACAGTCTACCATTTGCTTCAATGTAATTTTGTATGGATAATCATCTGGATATATTGTTTGTTCACATTTATCAATAAGTGCTCGTTGATCTGCAATTGTTCGAAGATCATGATGAGCAATCTCGTGTCTTTCTGATACAATTTTTCTTAAATCTAATAACTTGACGGTTGCATTTGTTCGTATCTTTAATTCTTCTTCAATTGGATTCAACAGCTTAGCGACCATTGAATGATTTTGTACTTGATCGGTAAAAACTTCCTTTTTATCTAATTTCAATAATCAAATAACTTCTGTTTCCACTTTAGACTATTCTTCTATACGAAAAAAACAAGAAAAAAAAAAATTTTGAAAGTTGTAATCTTTAACTGACTTGCAAAACGACTCCACTCTTTGAGATACGGAGCTTTTTCACGAATTACTTTATTGCCGTAATAAAATCGAAATAGTGTTACTACTTCATAAGCATCGATTTGAATATCTCGAAGTAACCATTGCGATTCAAGATTACCCAATCCTGTTTGTAAATTATTGATTGTTTTTCCTTGTTCTTTAATTGTTTTTTCTTGTCCTTCTATTCTTGTTGCACTTGTATCGACACAAAGTTTTAACTTTTGGATCTCTTCGGTAATAGACTTGAATATATTTTCAAATCCATCTTTAACATGAATATCAATACCCAATGCAGATAAAATTTGTTCGATATAATTATAAATATCATCATGCAATGAAGCTTTTCGAATATGTTCAAAAATAGGTATACATGATTGGAATGCTTTTTCTTTTTTTTTCTTCATTATCAATAGGAACATTGATGAGATTATACTGTTCTAATATATTGCAAATACGATTGAATTGTTGTTTAAATAAATCATTGACAAGTGAAGACGAATAACGTTGCGTGATCCACATTATTTGTTGTGATCTTGCAATAATACTGCTTGACATAGAACGTGCTATTCTTCTACAGCAGCACCATAAAATACTCATAATTTAAATAATAATAATATATGATGAAAAACAATAAGTGATGATGAAGAATAATAAATAATAATGAAGAATAATATGTGATGATGAAGAATAATAATTATGTGACAGTGTTCGACATGAGGTCGCAACAATTAACGTAATTTTGACCCTACTCGGGTCAAATCACGTTGAATATGGCGACCTCATGTCGAACACTGTTATATGATAAATAATATTAATATATGATGAAAAATAAAATACCACGAATAGTATATCTAAAATATTTAGTGAAAAAATTATTATTATCCGATTTGTAATAAACTGTATAGACTTGGCAATAAATAATAAAGAAAAGATAAACCGATAAGATCATATTTTATTATTGAAATCTTTCGTTAGCTACTGATTTCTCATCAAAGTGCCAAATGGCACTTGTTTTAAATAAAGTATAATAAAGTTTCTAAAATGTACAATATTAGAATTATGTTAAACTATGAAATATTTCATATAAATTTATTGTGAATATTTTCCTAATCGAAGTGGAGCTCACATCTCAGTTTCGGCAAAAATTGTGTTCTTTTTACCAAGCAAATTTTTTAGGGTTTTATTCAATTCTTGGCTTACCAATTCTAAAAACATCATTGGAGTCTTCAACATTTTTATAAAATCTGAAAAGTTTTTAATTATGTCTCCCGAATTGTTGACCTCGCATTTCCTTCTCTTGTATCATGAAAATATTTGGGCTAGGAGTGGTAGTCTATTTTTAAAGTTATCTAATAGAATATTTTAAGTTGAAGTTAAATACTTTAAAATTTAACTTTAAAAAATTCAAGTTTCATTAGATTATTCCACGAAAACAATCTTTTTGTTGACTAAAAGGTATTTCTTTGATTAAAAAAAAGTATTGTTTTTTAAAAAATAATTATATTACAAAATAGATTATTTGTTGACGTGGATTTCATTTTTTAAAAATCATTTTATTTGCAAAAAAAGACTAAAAATATAATTTAGCTTTAAAGTAAAGTTAAAGTATTATCCCTAATCGAAACACTGATGGTATATAGTCGGAAAAATTAAAATAGAAAAAATATACAACCTTTTATATGTGACAACACTGTATGAACAGTTGTTTTATCTAATATTTCATAGACGAGTGCAAAGAAATATTAAAGAGAATTAATACTAACTAGAGGCCCCTGTGAAGGGTTGAACTCAAGGGGGAAAAGCGGGACTAGTGCAGTGCGTACTCCCACTGTACTATCCTGTTCTTCCACTGTACCCCCTGTAGGGTGTGGGTGTGGGTGTGGGTGTGGGTGTGGGTGTGGGTGTGGGTGTGGGTGTGAGTGTGGGTCTGGGTCTGGGTCTGGGTGTAGATGAATAGTAGATCACTCCCACACCCGCACCCTCAAGAGAAAATCTAACATTTGTTTTTTCTATTTTTGTAAAGGTTAGAATCTTTAAATATGCGCGCTTAATAACATACAAGAAAAAAAAGCTAGTGAGTGCATAAATATATCTATTGTTATTAGTTTTCGCGCGGTAGTATATATACATATATATAGTTTTATTTTAATTGCCACCTGCAGAGAAAATAACCGAGTGCAAAGCCAAATAATAGTGCAACAAAGGTGATCAAAACAAGGTGTTCATTTAAAGTAATACCAAAGAGAACAAGACCTTTTTGTTGTTGTTGATTTGGTTTAAATTGATCGGCTACCGGATTACCAACATGATCACTACCTGGTGTTCTTTGTCGAAGTGTATTTTCTTGTTGTTTAAATTTTTCCTAAAATAGAATAAATGATAGAATAAAATGAAAATCAACAAATATACTTTAGGATTTTCATTTTTATCTTTCAAACGATCAATTTCTTGTTGAACACGTGATTTATTTGAATCATCACTAACTTCCTATAAGAAAGATATCATCAAATAAGAAGTTATAAGTATAATAATATTTCTATCACAAGTATATAGCCAATCAAGTAGAGAGGAAAAGAATAAGCAAAAAGTTGAATTCAATTTTTGTGTATCCTTATAAATATAAAACCGAATCTGTTGACAATTTTGATATTGAAATTGACTTGGATTTGTTGGAAGTGAAGTTATCAGAGGTGGTCGTCGATCAAAAACTGTTGATGATATTTGTTGTTCATTTTTGTTGTTTTGTTGCTGTTGAATACGATTTTCTATTGCATTCGTTGATTCAGTCGAAATGCTCAAGGTATTACAACCAAGCAAAAGAAAACAAGGATCATATGATTCATAGCATTAAATCAAGCAACTGATTTTTTTCAATAGTAAAACAGATTTAAGCATACTTACAGTATGTGATCATGGTCAAAATATAAAAATAGAATATTTTTTTAGTTTTTCAAATGTTGAAAAACTTTAGAAAATTCGCAGTTTCAGGTTATTAATATTCTAAACTATGCATGCAGAGAACTCGAACTGCAGTTCGTAGATCTGAAACCACCCAACAAGTTGAGGCAATATCAAGTATTTTGGTAGTTGTTCAAGCATTTCTTGAAACATATAGGTAATTATGAAAGCATTCTTAGGTTTAGTTAAGTTCAGGGGTGGGTGTGGAGTGGTGTGGGTGTGGGTGAGGTCATGGCAAATTTCAAATTGTAACCAGTTTTCACTAAATATCTGATCTCTGAAATCTGATTTTTCCGAGAGAAACCAGATATTTACTCCTGTGAACATTCAGAATTGCGAAGAGAAAACAGATATCAGGTATTTACTTGCCTCTATAATTTTCAATTCACAACGGAGACGTACGTAGAAGACATACTCTTATACCTTTCATTTTCGATAGCTAGCAGAAGGCAGATAACAGATATTTACTTATCTGCATAATTTTGAAATGTAGCGTGATGCCTTTCATTTTGGAGAGCTAGCAGAAGGCAGATGACAGATATTTACTTCTCTGTATAATTTTGAAATGTAGTCTGATGCCTTTCATTTTGAAGAGCTAGCAGAAGGCAGATAACAGATATTTACTTCTCTGTATAATTTTGAAATGTAGCGTGATGCCTTTCATTTTGGAGAGCTAGCAGAAGGTAGATAACAGATATTTACTTCTCTGTATAATTTTGAAATGTAGCGTGATGCCTTTCATTTTGGAGAGCTGGCAGAAGGCAAATATCAGACATTTAGTTTCCTTTGTAATTAAAAAAGCAGGCTTTTCAGGTAGCATAGGTTGTATTTATTGAGTAATTGTAGTTAGTCCAGTGAAAACTATCTTTATGCCCGCGACTGTGTTACAGTAGCAATTATGCAAAGGTTATATGGCGTAGGTAACATTCGCGGCAGATTCGGCTTTCGAAGGAAGGTAATAGCTTCAGATTGAGGCGACGAAATTTTCAAAATCTTTTATTATATAGAACGGGAGAATGATAAAAAAGAGACTCTCTAGAAGACTGTTTTCTGGAAAGGGCCCGTGTTTAGGCTAAATGTTCATCGAAATAGTCATGCGAGATAGAACTTTGTGAGACGTTCCTCTCGATGTCAAACTCATTGCGGATTAATCATCAGGAGAGTTCATTAGCTTGTGAATGACTAATGGAGCAGGCTTTTTGTACTCATATGACATCCTTAAATTTTTCTAAAGTGTAGTAACCCCCGTCCCACAATAGAAGACTTCGGGTCTTGTATTATGTCCAAACGTAAAAATTATCCAGGCGGCTCTTGTATTATGTCTTATATTTTTTCATAATTTTTAATTAAAAAAGTTTTTCTGAAAATCGAGGCTATGTTAAGGATTTTAAGAGGCCAGATATATTTATGAACTCATTCTGTGAAGATTTCTGACTCAAAACTCTGAAAACTGGGCATATTTTGACTTAAATACACTAATTAAAGCTCCCAATCATCAAAAAATTAATTAATACAAGGGGCTTTTCTAATACGCCTTTCAAACTTTTCTTTTCTTTGGAGGGGGGGAGGGCGGGGATACCGACTTGGATAATGATTACCAGTTATAGAAGTCACTGAGAGCTATCGAACGGTATGGTGTTCAAAGATATTTATTAGTAGGTAGTTCTTTGTCTTAGAAATGACTTGTGGGATAGGGTATTTATGCTCACATGATGGCTAAATAGTCATTATATGAGACTTTCCAACTTTCAAAATATTTGTGCCAGATAGAATTGCATGAGATGTTTTGATTTGATGCCAAATGCAATCCTATCGTCGCTCGAAATGAACCTCTTCATGAAAGTTCTTGAAAAGCATAGGATTTTTTTCCCTCAACTGTAACTTCTGTCCTCATTTGGATATTAATTTTGAGTAGCTATCTAAATGAGCGGTTTTGATGCAGAGTTGTCTTGCTTTTTGAATGGTAGGACTTTTAATTCCGACGATTTATCGGATTTTCAAACTTACCTTCAAAAAATTGTGCTGTGAATCGTTTTGAAATGGTTATTAATGTCAGAAAAACGGCAGATAACGATGCGAGGCTCAGAAAATCGAAACTTAAATTGGCAGAGTCAGTAACCAAGTAGACAGGGAGCTTGACAGAAGCGAAACTAGCAAGGGGAAAAAGCAGCTCCCGGTATCCTCAGTATCTTGACTGTATTCTACGTATCTTGAGTATGTCAGCTGTATTTTTCATGTCATAGTGTATTCTACGTGTTATTATCTCATTATCTATATTCTACTATAAAAACTAGTGTTACCTTCACAAACTTTACAAATATTTAAATTTCGAAGTCATTGAACAATGAATAAAGAAAATGGACCTGTTATTGTCAGAAACCAAAACATGTCAGCAATCAGATGGATGTCAGAGCTACTTTTCGAAGCACAACAGTTTGTTTGCTTTCATTTTACCAAAAGCACAGTTACAAGTCAACAAATCACAGTATCATAGTATATTTTCTCTTGCTGACCGCGTATAAAGCACTCACACTCACATCCTTGCGAAATCCACAACGGAGACAGACTTCACGCATCATTACGATGAGTTACCTCGTCTATTTACAATACAAGTTTGGCTGCTCATCTGTATTCATCAAGAGCTATGTATGTAAACGTTTTTAGAGTCGTAGTGATTGAACTGGCTAAGATCTAAAGTGGGAAAGGAGACAGTTTTAACTAGTAGTATACTATTTTTCCCGTTTTATACGATTTTATTCTGACAGCTGTCTTGTACATACACCGAATGAACGTCAGATAAGCAGAACAGTTCGATATAAAGCAATTTATACTGTTTTGCTGTTCTGGCTTTAAACCCATCACACCACTTAAAACGATTTACTCACCGTCGAAATATATGACGAAAAAAATTCCAAACTCTATGTAATCTGTAGGATTTCTTCATCAGAAATGACTCGTCATAAGTCGTATTGTGTCTATCATGTACATTTTATATTGTCTCTACTACATCGAATTGTATCCTCTGTATCTCCACCGTATCCAAGATACCAGAAGTCCCTTTTCTTCCCTCTGAAAGCGAGTCAGTGATGAAAACTTGGCAAAAAAGAGTTATCGAATCACGACGAAAAACTTGCGAGCCGACTGCAGAGATAATACTGAATTTTGTGAGTCGCGCAGTAGGCGAAAAAGATAAGGTTGCGACACGAGTTAGGGACCTTAAAAGGAAATGACGGACATCCTTTTTGGAACACTCAATGCTAAAAACTACCTACTGACTGTGATGATTTCTGATTAGAGAAGGATTAGAGCAGATGGCATTACACTTTATTCTATTCATCCATACCATACAACCGTGTCGTTTACATAAAAAGCACGTGTTTATATACGCAACTACACTGAAAAAAAGGTGTCATACCGAACCACAATGGGATTTCGTGCTTGCTAAAACCCAAAAAGGTTTTTGGAAATGGTACGAAACCGAAAAACATTTTTCCATATACTAAGAAGCCTAAAAAGGTTTCGATTTTTGCAACGAAATGGTTTGTATGATACCTGTTCTTTCAGTGTATAGAAATAAGGGGTTGGGAATAGATATAATGGTTTAGGTATAGAAATAAGAGGTTAAAAATAGATATAAGATTATACTTAGAAATACGGAATAAGGACAGATATAAATGTTTGAGTCTATGGGCTTTTTTATTTCAAACTGAATTCAAAAATCAAAAAAACCACACCAATTTCTTCCGAATCAAACTTTTCTCGCTTGATACTACGTAGTCTCACTAAAAACCCTTAGTCCCCCCTAGTCCTGCAAAGTCCCCCTTAGTCCCCCCCACAAAAAGCTTAGTCCCCGCTTAGTCCCCTGTGCAGGGGACTAAAGCCTATAGTACACAAAACCACAAGCACACCCTCACCCTCACTCGCGCGCCCACACCCGCACCATGGGTGTGGGTGTGTGTGGGTCCCAGAACAACACTCACACCCTCAGTCACCCCCCTCCCTCACTCCTAGACTCACGTTTCAGTTTGAAATCAAGTATTATTTTTATTTGATAAATTCAGACTGAAATTAAATAGCCCATAGTATGAAATGTTTAGGGATGGGTATGAGTAGAGAGAGAGCTGTGGGAATATCAAAAGAGATTGCCCCAAAAAGTGGGTTCTAAGACTAAATAGTTAGAAACATATAGACGTGATAGTAAGTAAGACTCGGATGATCAGACAGGCTTTTACGTATCTTGGAATAGATCTTCAGGTAGAGATACATAAACTATATAATAGCGCATTGGATGTAGTCGAAAAGTCGTATAGAAAATCCTTTTTTCAAGGCATAAAGAGAAACGTCTCTACGAAGCACTGTTCGTATGAAACCTCAAAGGGTGTCGATTTCGTTGCAAAAATCGGAACCTTTGAAGGTTTTCTGTGACATATTTTTTGTTTTCAGTGTAGAAGAAGAGAGAAATGAAGGAAAGGGAGAAGAGATCAACGAAAGGATAGACATGAGCGAACAATGAGATAAGGACAACAAAGTAAGAAATAGAAAAGAAAAAATATGAGAATAAATGGTAAGGAAAGGCTAAATAATGTGTATAAAATTCGCTCAACCGGGAGCGTCACACTGACATTACTATAATCATTGCATTGTAGCATTTTGGACAGGTTCTTGAGAATTTATTGGCAGATTAGCTTCAATGTTGACTCAGTAAAATCTCTCTGCTTTCATACACCACCCGAACAGAAAGGATGAGTGGGTGTGGGCCAGTGTGTGAGTTAAGAATATACCCACATCTTACATGAATAGCGATGAAAAACAAAAAAAACCATAAAACTCCGCTGCTGCTGAAGAAATATTATGTAGAGATTCGTCAAGACTGATGATAGGATTAAATTTTACATTGGGCAAAGGATCTCATCGGGTTCAACTTGGCAAAAATGTTTGACTAGTTGGCACAACTCTTTACAGAAGTGTTACGTCCAAATGCTGATTTTTTCATCAGGAAGTTTTAAAAAGTAGGTTTTTGAAGTTTCAGCCGTTTTTCAAAATAAAAAGTTTTCCAAATCTCTGCATTCTATATTATATTCACTTCCAAATCTCATACGAGCAAGATCTTTCCTAGTACAAACTCTTAGGAGAATATTTTCTAAAAAATTCAAATCTGTGATTAACTTTGTATACATAATCAGTTCAAACTTTTCTCGAAACGAATCTAACCGTACCCACCTGAGTTATAAAAAAGTTGAAACCGAGTTGATTCCATCTCTGATTTGGAGTCAACAGGCTTCACATAATTTTTAACGTCACTAGCTAAGGCAATAGATCGATTACCAGTCAAAAACAATAGAAGCCTACATGTATAAAACAGTAATGCAGCTTGATCACCCATGTTACAACGATATTTATGCATTTTTTAATAATCCAGTTGCCAAACAG